GAATGTTCTTCTCATCAAGCCGCACCTAATAAAAAAAAAAAAAATCCGCAAAATTAAAAATGGCTTAAATACCCCCAAAAATTTACGAGGGTATTTTGGTCATGTTTTTCATGTAAAATATGTTTTTAATATTTTTTGAATATTCACCTATTTTTTATCAACACACGTCTAAAATTTCAAGTGATTTGGATTTGTAGGAAAAAAAATTAAAATTCAAACACTATCGGGTATCCATGATCGCTAGATCGGCCCATATTCAATCTGGGCCATTAGGCTCATTTTTCTTGTGAGCCCATTGGCTCACAGAAGCCTTTTCCTATATATATATATATATATATACACACACACACACACACACATATGCATTCATGCATACATACACATACGAGGGTCCGTGAGGCAGTGGGAATGAGATAAAAGTACTTAGGAAATCGTAAGCATTTGTTCTCTAGTCATAAGAAAGTAGCCAAACTAAACAACATCAACAGTTCAAAAAAATAATAATAAATTGGGGTTGTATAATATGAGACTATTTATCTTTGTTACTATTTATCTTTGTTACAAGGAAGTCATAATAGCTACTAGCCACTAGATGTCAAATTGGATTGCTAGATGTGCGATACAAAGTTCAAAAATTTCTTTATTGAACTTTTGAGTCTAGTCAATAACACAACACACTCACAACCACCCGATTTGAAATCTAATGGACAAGAATGATTGTGACCTCCTTGCATTAAAAGTAAATGATCTCTTTGTGTACTTATCCTAATAAATTAGCCAAACTAACCTTTCCCGACATCATATCGATGGACACAATATGGGATACGGTATCCTGAGAGAAGATAACGGGAGCGTATTCATCTTGAACAGGTGATGGTTGAAGCATCTCAGGGAAGTATTCATCTTGAACGGGTGATTGATCTTGTGTCTCCATCTTCTTTATGGTCCAACCATGCTGCTTCTCAAACTCCTCTCTCTCTGAGTGCAATACTTTCAATGCATAAGCCACGCCACTGGTCAGTGGCCTCTCAAATGCAGTTCTAGCTGTATACTCGGCAAATGTTTTCTGCATCAAAGAAATTGGGAAAAGAAATAGATACCAAAATTACCAGAATACATAAAATGGTTATGGTTGCTCTCTCTCTCTCTCTCTCTCTTCTCTCTCTCTCTCTCTCTACTCTACTCTACTACTACCTACTACACTACACTACTACTACTACTAACTACTACTACACTACTACTA